TAACTAGTGAAGATGGCACTAACACTTTCAAAGTTAATGGACAACGACTAAAACTGTATGTGGGGATGGAGGAAATGAAAGAGTTGTCCGTAATAATTCTTCTTGAACTGCAAAGGTCGAGCGAGCTTTAAATGAGCTTAATCTACGTCGTGCCACGACATTAACTAAGGCGCCGGTTGGGAGGCAACCCAACGGTCATAGTAGTAATTAATTGTGAGTTTTTGAAAATGCTAACCAATGCAGGTAACAATGGGCGGATGATAAGGCAATCGAAAATGAAAAAAAAAATCCGGTGAAAGTTCAGGATTTTGAAGACCAGTTAGCGCGACCGCGCATATGGGCGTGCTACTAGCGCGACCGCGCATCTGGGCGCGCTAAAATGGCGCAAACATTCTGCCTGGGTCGTGCTATTGAACGCGCTACTAGTGTGATCGCGCATCTGAACTTGCTAATGGACATGCTAACTTGGAAAAACATTCTGCCTTGGACGCGCTAATTTAGCGTGATCGCGCATATGAACGCGCTAATAGCGTTCAGCCTTTTTTTATTTTTTTTATTTTTTTTATTTTTCAATTATTTATTTTCTTTAATCTAACTCACTTCCCCCCCCCCCCCNGGTTGCAAATTGTTTGGAATGGGTTGTGTGTACCTAACGCCCATAAGGTGTTTGTAAAAAGGCCTCAATGACTGAAATTATATGATTGTGACCACGTATGCGCGTGAAGTCAGAGTAACCGCAGTGCGTCACGCTTTTTGGTGTTGGGAGGAACTTATTTGTTCCCAATTTGCAGGTACCATGGCTCCATCAAAGAAACGCCGCACCACCGGTCCATCAACTAGCAGACAAACCTCCAAGTCGCGAGGGGCTGCACCTGCACGCACTTTTGATGATACAAAATTTGTCTCAGCTAATGCCCAGGATCGCTTTGCTGAGAAGGCTTCTAAGAAGCCAATTCCTGAAAGGGGCATTGAAGTCCGATTAGTCCATCGAAATTGCCCTCACATGTATGAAGAGCTAATGAGACGTGGGCTCCAAACTTTCATTAATGAGCTCGGTGAAGGCAATGTTATGGATGTCAGGGAATTTTACGCCAACGCGCCTGAGCATCACAATGGCATCGTCACAGTATGGGGCAAAGTGGTGAATGTCTCTGTCGAGGCAATAAGGGCGGCATACTAGCTACCATCACCTGTGATTGATTATGATGAGTTCTATGAATATGGCTGCAACCCAATACAAGAAAAGTGGTAGCGATTCATTTAAACTATTTGTGCACTGGGAAAAGAAGTGGTTTGGATGCGATATGGTGAGAAGTTCCACTCCTACGCACTCACCTCTAAAGCAAAATGCTGGTTGTACCTAATCAACAACCGTTTGATTCCTTCCCACAATACTACTGAGGTGAATGGGCCCAGAGCCGCTTTGATTTGGTGCTTCGTCAATGGGCACAACTTTGATGTGGCAAAAGTAATATATGACGAGATGTTCGTCCGCAGCCGAGTGAAAAGGTATGGGTTCTTCTTCCCTTCTTTAGTAACTCAACTTTGTAGGGATGCTCAAGTGCCCGAAAATCTAGCTGCGGATGGCCTTGTAAGAAAGGACTAGAAGTTCCGCGCGTACAAGGTAACCACGGGAAAGGAACCAGCAGCAGCGGAGGTGGAAAGTAGTGGTAGCTCTGACGATTCAGATGACGAGGATGAAGAAGAGGAGAATGTGAGTGCCGAACACCAGGCCCCAGAGCATGAGGATGCAGCTCCAGCACCATCTAGGGCATCCACATCTTTACAACCACGCAGGAGCACACGCATGACCGCTTTGGAACAAGAGATGGCTGGGTTACGTACTTCAGTCACAAATTTAGGTGCCTGAGTGGAGGTGGTTAATGACAGACAAGTGAAGTCTGAAAAGAAGTTCTTGGGCTGGTTAAGAGCTCTGGGTCGCGCATGCAATGTGAACCCAGAAACCGTTTCCGACCAGGAGTGACCTTTAGGGAAGTACCTTGACCTCACTATTTTTTAAAATTTTTACAACCATGGGGACATGTCTTGATTATAAGTGTGGGTTGGGGGATGCTTCATTGTACATATGTAGTTGTTATTTGATTATTTGATTTTGGTTGATTTTATTTTGTTTTGGTTGTTTTGCTTGTGATTTAGCTTTGGTATTAGTTTAAAGTAGTTAAATAGCTGGGACTAAGTCGAGCATATAAAAAAACAACGAAAAATGCAGACTCTTCCTGATGATGGATCCTTTAGATAATTTTCTTGAGGGAAGTTAGTCTAGAGAAAATTCCAAAAAGATTTTTTTATTTATTTTCTTTGTAGGTAGTGTAGTAACTCCCCCCTTGGTTTTTCTTTGGGCCACGGTTCTTTTCCAAGGGTTTAGCTTGAACCGGGTATAGGTAGTTTTTATTCATTTTGTTTTCTCTTTAGTTTTTAAAATTAGGATAAATGGGCTAATGAGCGGAGTTCGAAAAGAAAAGCCTTTAGCGCTATTACACCTGAACACAATAGACACTATAGTGTAACGCCTATTCTCAGTAGTTGATTCTTGCTAAAGTTCCTTAAACTGTATATTTATCACTGACTTGAATACTCAGAAAAGAGTGTCTTGATAAGCCAATCCGGAATGAGTCATGTGCCATATGTGTGAGTTTTACTGTATTCCATGATTCACATTTGATGCCTAGAACTTGATCTGTATGTTTGCAAAACGAAATAGTAGTTCATTCAGTCTTTGAAGTGATATAGGCAAATCTTTGTTGAGCCAGACATATAAAATAAACCCACCTAAATGCAATACATCTTAGTTAACCCCGTTGTGCTTATAAGCCTATTTCTTTAGCAACCACATTGCGAACCTTACCCAATTGTTTGAATAGCCTGTTGTTTGAACCCTCTTTCCTCACATAAGCACTTGAATGGTATTGAAAATTATGCAAAGACAAAAGTGTGGGGTGGTGGTTTGGTTTTTGAGTGGAACCACAGAAATCAAAAAATAGGTGTAGAATTCTGTTGCATAAAAGATGAAGCAACAAAAAAAAAGAGATTAATATAGTGGTTGAGAAGTGGTGGTTAGCTATAATTACCCCTAATGAATGGGGCTGTTGTAAACAAAAGAACGGTGGTGAAACGTTTGGTTGACAAAAAGTTTGATTTTGAATGTTGATGTAATTGTACTAAAAGTGCTTAGGGAGGTTAGTCACTATATCCAAATGTACTCTACCCGTCCCTTAGCCTACATTACAACCAAGTAAAGTCCTATTGATCTTAGACTGAGTGTCTCAATTAGTAGAGTAGTACACTACGGGCAAGCTTATGGTGCATCTTTGTGACATGTGAATGTTCTTTTCTTGAGAGTGAGTGAATTTCATTTATTTAAGTTCTCAATTGATCTAAATATTATTATATGTGAAACTACTCTCTTGTGTGAATGTGAGGGCATGTGATTCATGAAGGAAAGGCAAGTCTTGACTTCGGTATAGAGTAGCTTGAGAAAGTATGAATATTGCACGGCACGTGAGAGTCAACTTTTGAGGATATGATTGTTCACTCCTAGATGTAACTCATGTGATTTGTTCTTGGTGTAATGCGTTAGGGAAAAATGCTTAGTGAAGGAACCTCTATCAAGGGTGGTGGATTTCTTGAGAACTAGCAAGGATTTAAGTGTGGGGTATTGATATTAGGCTAGATATATGTCATTTGACAATGGTTTTTTCCCCAACTTGATTATGTTTCAATGCTCTAATATAATTAAATGATGAAAAATGAGCTATAAATTGTGTTGCAGGAATGAAGAGCTTGTATGAGGCCTTAAAGCTATGATTGGAGCTACATTAAACCAAGAAAGAGCCCTAGGAGCTGAATGAGCGAGAAGACGAGAATAAAAGAACCAAACAAATGAGACCTGGACTAGCGCGCCTACATGCGCGATCGCGCTAGTCCAGATTCCGGAACAGAATCGTCAGGGGTAATTTTGGAAGTCTGGGGGGCAAATTCACTTAACCTATAAAAGGTCAAGCTAGCCCAAAAATAGGTGTGCAGCTTTTATTAGCTAAGAACAAGAATAGGAAGGGCAAGGACCTAAGAAGAGTTTTCTACATCAAGTTCTTCTCCTCTTCCTTTTGTTTTTATGATTTGTAATGAAGTTATTTATTATGATGTTTATCATTGTTATGAGTAGCTAACGCTTTTAATCTAAGGTTTTGGTTGAACCCGTTGTGGATGAACTTATTGTGATATTAATATAGTTTTGAGTTAGTTGTTAATCTCTATTTGTTCAACTATGTTTTGATATTGGTTAGTTGAAAGGATCCTCAATTAGCCATGCCTATTTATTATGTATCTACTTGAGAAAGAGTGCATGTTTAGGTAATTGTTTGAACAACATCACTCCCGGAGTATAGGCAAAGTCATAACCGAGGGTTTAGAGGTTGGAGTAGAGATAACGATACCTCGGGTGCAATCTAAGTGAATTGTAATGCGAATCTAGCTAACGTAACTTGAGAGAGTGCGTCTAGTAAATTATCATAATTACTTGAGAGAGAGTTATGATAGTTGGAGAGTTCATGATTGATAGAGATAACTAATTCATAGGTATAAGAAATATACGACTAAGGAAATCTACAACGGGGGAAGCCATTACGTTAGGCCTTTATTCCAATTGTCTACATTTGCGTATTAATTAACCTTTGTTTTATTGATTCGAATAGTTGTCGTAGTAATTATAACACCACTTGTATTCACAAAGTTCGAGGAGGTTGACTAATAAGAATTTAGTACTTCAAAGACTTCTCTTGATACGTTAATTCCCTGTGGAATTTGACTCGGGGCATAATACGCCGGATTATATTTGCAACGCCCGCGTAGTCTTTTAATAGGCTTAGTTGAGCGTGATCAATAAATTTGTAAGAAAGATCGGGAAACAAGATAATACAAACAGAAATACTAAATGGAAACGTATGATGAATAATACAAGTACTTGAAAGCAACCTATGGTCTTTGGAATGAAATCAATTTTTATTTTCTGAATAGAAATCCATTGACATGAGTTTCTTCATTATTCATATAAATACGAAAGAAAAGAGAACTGGACAATACAACAGAAACACTGAAATTACAGGGAATACTTATGCGTAATAGGAATTTGTAAAGGAGTTTGTTGCGACACAATGATATTAACATTTTTATGTTCCAACTACGCACGTATTTTGACTGGGTCCATAATGCATACCACAAGTACAACAAACCCAGCAGTCACTGCAATCATCATTGGAAGTACAACTTCTAAAACAAGTTGCAAGTTGTGGGAGTATTCTCCTCTTGAATCCTGAGAAATCATGATCGATATTCTGTGCAGCTATAACTTGCGTCATTGGAAATCTCGACATATTAACTGAAATTTTCACATCATAATTATTGAGATCAAGTTATGGATTGTATAACGTAAAACAACACACTAAAATTTCATGTATATAAAAACATGGACATTATCGATACATATAAAATATGCGCGTGTACAAACACATAAATATTATATGTACTACAAGAAAATATGTACGAGAATATGAGATAAATAAAAATAGGTATATATATATATATATGTGTGTGTGTATGTGTATGTATGTGTGTGTATGTGGTGTACGACAACAAAAGGAATATGTACGAGAATATAGACATTAGGAAAAATGGGTACTCACTTGTGGTTGCCATGAGAATGATAGTGATAATAAAACAATGTTTAAATATCGCCATATCAGAAACTATACTTCACACTTTATGAAAGTCCTTGTTTGAGCATTTCGTTGTCTTTAAAAGGTGGAAATTTATAGTCCTCTGTGAATGAACTACCTGATCTCTAGCATGTGCTATAGTTCTTTCTTTTCATTTTTTTTTTCTCTTTAGTTTGTTTTTATATTTTAATAAAGTCCCTTCACTCACACACCTTCCTAAAAAGATTATAAATTACGCATTCGAATGTATAGAATAAAATATTTTGACCAGAAGTACAATAATTGTGCGTCCTGGTTGTACAGTAGAATAATAGTTACCAAAACTTCAGATCCGTTATTTTCGGCATGTGAACATTCTATTAACTAAGATTAGTTCAGTTTTCTAAAGGAAATTGTCCATACCTTTTTAATTGAACACATTCTCATGTTATGGGTTCAAGTTCCTATTAAGATTTTACATATTTTAAGTTTTGTTAATTTTTTGTATTTAGAATTCAGTGTGTTCAATAATAGAATTTACATTATTGCATATTTGTGTGATTTATTGTATGTATTAATTACTAGGGGACAACTAATAAAAACAAAATTGATCTACATATATTTTGATATTATAAAAAAAATTCAATTTCATGATGACACTACAATTTTTTTAACTGTAATAGCTGAAAAGAAATTAATTATCAAATTCGATTTCAAGTGAATTTTTTTGTTTGCTTTGCTCATTCATTAATAAAAGAGTTGAAATTTTGAAAGGATAACTTTTGGCAAAGAAACATGCGGTGTTAAATATAAAAAAAATAAGTCTTTTCAAAATGAAACGAGTGAAAAAGTTGTACAAAGAATTAAAAGCTTTCTTTCTCAAGGATAATACATTTTAATCTGAAGTAAACGAAGAATAAAGTGACTCTTGGCAAATGGTAACATAAATTATTTTTTTCGAAATTAAAGGAACACGCGATAATCTAAACACATTAGATAGGGTGTAAATCGTAAAACGAGAACTTACTTGCTCTTCATGAAGCGGAAGCGAAAACGAATGAATCGTGACTGAAATTACTAGTCGGCGGTGATTGTCACAGTGTGTTGGAGCAACCCCAATTCCACAGTCTAAACCCTAGTTTGATAGTGAGATAGAGAGAGCGTAGGAAATATAATGCTTAGAGTCTTTTTTTAGTGTACACACTAAGTGTACTTATATAGGGAATATTAGGGTTAACTAATAACCCTATTGGGCCTTAGAGCACCCCTTATGGGTGGATCCAATATTTCCTACATCTCCCACTCACACATAATGGGAGTGCTCATCTAGCCTAAGAAACATATTCTCAACTCATCTCCTCAATCATTCATACAGGGAAGTAGACCGTGCGACCAACATACTTTGAGAGCTAAGTACTATACATCTGTTAGGAGTATATAATCTCTCGTCGAGCACAAACCTACAAGTAGATCATAAAGTATGCAGTATCCTAGATCATATAAATCACATTTGATATAGTCTCAAAATATCATATATCATTATTTCTTGTATTCACAATCATAACTCATCAGTCATAATTGGTGCACCAGTGAATACAAATAAATGAGATTCTATTAATGATCTTCCTCTTCTCACGATTCCCTTAACATTAGTATGACTGCTTTTCTAATTATGCTCCGCTAGACCGAATCTGTGTTCATGGTCTTTTGGAAACATACTAAGATAGCTAACATCACACTAAGTCTCAAGTATCTGATCAGAGTGTCACGACCCGGATTTTCCACCCTCGGGAGTCGTGATGGCGCATACTCGTGGAAGCTAAGCAAGCCGAACATTATAAAATTATTACCCTTTTTATTTAAAAATATTCAACAATTTAAAGTAATAAGTGATTAAACAGCGGAATAAGTTAAATAATCGGAAATGCGGAAGCCGAAACTTAATATTCAACCAAACACTGCTACATAATTTGAAGTACAATACTGCCCAAAATTTGGTGTCACAAGTCACGGACTATCTAAGAATACTACAAATAAGGTCTGGATGAAAATACATAAGTCTGTCTCTGAAAAAGTAAAAGCAGAAAGAGGAAGGATATGAGGAGACGCCAAGGCTCGCGGACGCCTGTAAGACTACCTCGGGTCGCCTATATGGACTGAAGACAGCACCCTCACTGCGGTCCAAACGCTCCCGTATCAGTATCTGCACAAGTGACCGCATGTGCTGGTAAGTGCCTAACCTAACCTCGGTAAAGTAGTAACGAGGTTAGGACCAGACTACCAAATAAATATGTGCAGTTAAATCATATACAACGGAAATAGAAGCAGATAATTACAACTAAAGTTGGGCAGGGGAAAAATGTTGCAGGGAGTAACATGTAACAACAGAATAACAGTAGAGAAATGTAAGGAATACCATAAACCAAATACCAGCAAAAGATAAGGAAATAAGAAACAAGTACCCATGTAATACCATTGTAGGCGTGCAACCCGCTCCCATTTCATATGTTACCGTTGCAGGCATGCAACCCGCTCCCATTTCATATGTTACCGTTGCAGGCGTGCAACCCGCTCATATTTCATATGTTACCATTGCAGGCGTGCAACCCGCTCCTTTTTCATATATCAATACCAATCATAAATGAATCCCGATAAGGGAATAATAATATAACAACAATATCCCGGTAAGGGAACAATCCTAAAACAACAACATCCCGACAAGGGAACAATGATATGACAACAACATTCCGGCTAGGGAACAATAATATGACAACAACATCCCGGCAAGGGAACAATAATGATAATCGTCATATGAAGCACAATAACCCACAACGGAGTCACAACAATTACAATACAAGACTCACGGGCATGCTTCACACCGACGTATAGATACTCGTCACCATGCCTATACGTCATACTCCATAATTAGCACGTAGTAAATAAGATACAATTCATAATCCCTCAAGCTAAGATTAGACCAAACACTTACCTCGATGCCACGAACACAATTCAAGCCTCAACTATCGCTTTACCACTTGATTCCACCATCAATTCGCTCGTATCTAGCCACAAGTTACTTAACTGATTCAATAAATGCTAAATGGATCAATTCCAATGCATGAAAATAGGTTTTCTAAAGATTTCCCCAAAAAGTCAAAAATTGCCACTGGCCCACATGGTCAAAACCCGAGGTTCGAACCAAAACCCGATTACCCATTCCCTCACGAACCCAAATATATAATTTGTTTTGGAATCGAACCTGAAATCGAGGTCCAAATTCCCAATATCTTGAAAAACCTAGGTTCTACCCAAAACACCTAATTTCCCCGATGAAACCCCTTTATTTTGAGTTGAAATCATGTGAAAAGATGTTAAAGATTCAAGAAAATGAGTTAGAATTGACTTACAATCGATATGGAAAAAGAGTTGCCTTTGAAAAATAGCCCAAAGATGTTTTGGTTTTGAAAGGGTTTGAAAAATGAGAGATTTTCGGCTAAGTTATAATTTGCGCACAGGTGCAGATATCGCATTTACGAAGTCAGGTTCGCAAATGCAGCCTAGGCTTCGCAAATGCGAAGGTAGGCCAATCCTGTTGTCTTCGCAATTGCGAACATATGTTCGCATTTGCGGTCCCTGTTGAAGTCGCATTTGCAACACAAGCCTCGCAAATGCGAGGGTTCCTGCCCCAACCCATCATTGCAATTGCGATGGGTCTCTCACAAATACGAGCTCGCAATTGTGAGCCAACTGCAGACCTGCAACACACAGCAGTTGAAAATCTGAAACATCTTAAGTTCAAAACACCCAGTGGCGTATCCAAAACTCACCCGAGCCCTCGGGGCTCCGAACCAAACATGCACACTAACCCAAAAATACCATACGGACTTGCTCGTGCAATCAAATCACCAAAATAATATCAACAACTATGCATTTAGCATAAAAATCCAAAAAAAACTCAAGAACTTTCAAAGTGTCAAATTTTACAACTAAGGTTCCAAATCACGTCATTTCAAGTCCGTTTCTTACCAAATTTTTCAAGCTCGACTTAAATCACTTATAAGACCTGTACTGGGATCCATAACCAAAATACGGGCCTAATACCATCAACTTCCAAACAATTTTTATTTCCAAGAACTCATTTATATTCCAGAAAATAATTTTCTTTAAAAAATTCATTTCTCGGGCTTAGGATCTCGGAATTCGATTATGGGAATACGCCTAAGTCCCATATTTTCCTACGGACCCTCTGAGACCATAACTCACGAGTCTGGGTCCGTTTACCCAAAATATTGACCGAAGTCAACTTAAATTCATTTTAAAGGCAAATTTTATCATTTTTCACTGATTTTAAACAATTGTTCGCCCTCGAACGGACATAAGAAAGAAGTATCTGAGTCGGAGAAAAGATAGGGATAAGGGATCCGCATATCAGCCTCGGACTCCCAGGTCGATGCCTCAGCAGGCTAACCTCTCCACTGAACATGAGCAGAAGGAAAACTTTTCGATCTCAACTAACGAACCTGCCGGTCTAGAATAGCTACCGCCTCCTCCTCATAGGACAAGTCCTTGTCCAACTGAACAGTGCTGGAATCTAACACATGGGATGGATCGTCGTGATACTTCCGAAGCATGGACACATGAAACATTGGATGCACGGCTGATAAGCTCGGCAGAAATGCAAGTAAGTTAGCCACCTCTCCCACTCAATCAAGAATCTCAAACGGGCCAATGAACCTAGGGCTAAGCTTGCCCTTCTTTCCGAATCTCATCACGCCCTTCATAGGCGACACCCGAAGCAATACCCGCTCACTGACCATGAAAGCTAAATCACGAACCTTACGGTCGGCATAACCCTTTTGCATGGACTGAGCTGTACGAAGCCTATCCTGAATAAT